ATTCTCTTCGGTCCTCCTTTTGTTGTTAATGTATATTTAAAATCATTTTTTGTTATCTTTTATGATAATGGCCAGAGTGAATTCTAGCTGGGCTTTTGCCCTTCTAATCTTCTCTCTGCATGCCCTGACAACGTCTTTGTACTCTTCCTGAGTTGCCTGTCCCTTCTTCCAAAGGTGGTAAACTCTCTTCTTATTCCTGAGTTCCAGCCAAAGCTCTGTGTTCAACCAAGCCAGTCTTCTTCCTCGTCAGCTCATCTTGCGGGACATTGGGACAGCCTGCTCCTGTGCCTTTAAGATTATGTCCCTGAAGAATGTCCAGCCTTCCTGGACCTCTTTCCCCTTCAGGACTGCTTCCCAAGGGACTCTCTCAACCAGTGACATGAACAGGCCAAAGTCTCCCCTCCGGAAGACCAAGGTAGCTGTTTTGCTGTCCCCTCTTCTTACCTTACCAAGGACTGACTTTATCATTTCGTGGTTGCTATGCCCGAGATGGCCTCCAACCACCACATCTCCCACCAGTCCTTCTCTGTTTGTAAACAGCAGGTCCAGCTGGGCACCTCCCCTGGTAGGCTCACTTACCAGTTACATGAGCAAGTTCTCTTCCACACACTCTAGGAACCTCTTGGACTGTTTCCCTTCTGCAGTGTTGTATTTCCAGCAGACATCTGGCAAGTTGAAGTCCCCCACGAGAACAAGTGCCAGTGATCATCAGACTTCTGCCAGCCGCTTGCAGAATACTTCATCCACCTCTTTGTCCTGGTTAGGTGGTCTGTAACAGACTCCCATCAGGATACCTGCCTTATTGGCCTTCCCCCTGATCTTTATTCATAAACACTCAACCTTATCGTCACCATCATTGTCTTCAAGACAATCGAAACACTCTCTAACATATAAAGCCACCCCACCACCTCTCTTCCCTTGCCTATCCCTTTTGAAGAGCTTATAGACATTCATTGCAGCACTCCAGTCATGAGACTCGTCCCACCAGGTTTCTGTGATGGCCACTATGTCGTAGCTTTCCTGCTGCACCATGGCTTGCAGCTCTTCCTGTTTGTTGCCCATGCTGCATGCATTGGTGTAGATGCACTTCAGCTGGGCTACTGATCTCCCCTCTACGACTGGCCTGCTGCCCCTAGGCTCATCTCCAGTGTCCTGGGTTTTATCCCCTCCCTGCTTCAGACCTAGTTTAAAGCCCTCTCAATCAGCAGCCCCAACTCATGGGCTAGAATCCTTTTCCCTCTTTGAGACAGGTGAACTCCATCTGCAATCAGCAGGCCTGGTGTTGTGTAAACCACCCCATGATCAAAACAGCCAAAATTCCACTGATGGCACCAGCCTCTGAGCTATGTGGGCATTAATTGTCCAGCAATAAATGCAGGCTGGAATTCTAAAGAATATTCTTAATGAAAGAAATAATATTCTGCAAACAGCCTTCAGATCAAAGCAGTGGAAGGATGAAAACACTGCCTAGCCTTGAAATTGAAATAGGTATCTACATTAAATGGGATCAAATGAGATTCACGCCTGCAAATCACAGAGGACCAGGCACAGTGACCTTCTCCTTTCCACTTCAGTGTTCCTATGTAACATTTTCCCAGTCTATTTCTGTTATACATTGGGGAACCTATAAGAAACAACAACAAACCTTGACTATGAAAGTACATTAGAAATTTAAATATCTTTTAAGTTATTTTCTTCTTAAAACTAACCTTTAAAATATCATCTATAAATGCACAACTACTTTGAAGTCACATCACTGAAAGTACAAGATGGGAATAAGGGAAAAGGCTGGATAATTCTGAATGGTGCAGTGACAAACAGTGGTTGTTCACTACTTTTGATGGAAGAGCTGCAGGACATCAGCTGAAAATGGCCTGTTCAAACACAGATCAGCCCACGCACTGCCTTCCCTTCCCTGACCCACAAAAAGCCTGGCAACCAGAGAGGTGGTTCTTCACGTGACAAGCGGTCAAGCTGCTATGGGATGTGGTAGGTGCTAAGACTTTACAGGATTAAAAGGAATGACAATGGAAAAGTTGCCATTCTATTAACATATTAAGACCTATGAAAGATAAGAAAGCTCTTCTAGACCAGAAGTCTCCAACTGCTAATTTTTGGAAGCTGAGAGTTGTCAGCAGTAGTTTCACTTAGGTGCTAGTCTCGCTCTTACACTTCTCCCGAGGCATTCGCTCTTGCCACTGTTGGAGGCAGGATCCTGGGTTAATTAACTACTGTGTTGATGCAGCATTGCTGTTCTTGCATCACATTCAACCAGCAGAGCACTGTACAGGTTCATTTACCCCCTATTAGAAGGGATTTCAGTTTGGTTTGAGGCTCAGGCAGCAGCAGGTCTTAGGTTCCCATTCTGCAGAACCCAGCATGCAAGTAAACCACCTTCACAGAGCTCTGCAGAGGTACTATGGTTTTCGCATGCTTAACCTACATCTTACTCCTTCCCACAGGTTTTCTTCTGAAAATGAAAAGTCTTCCTCTGCTTTAAGATTTGGTACATTCCTTCCTATAAAACCAGCTTAAATATTGCTCTAATTGCCTGTTGTGCCTTTTTAGGATTCCAAGAAAAAAAGAAAAAAAAAAAAAGCTACACAGAATTGACTGAAAGAAAAAAAAAAAGCCAGCAAAATGCAAGCAAACAACACAGACATGTAAAACTCACCACATTTCATCATTCCCACTTCATAACATTTCCGTAGCCGGCATGCCTGACAGCTTTTGCGCCTGTTTTTATCTATTGTGCATTGATTGGTAGCTGGGCAGATGTAATCGTTGTGTCCTGCAGCAAAGTAAGAAGAGAAAATTTAACATCTCCAACAGTCATAGAATCATAGAATCATTATGGTTGGAAGAGACCTCAAAAATCATCAAGTCCAACCGTATACCTGACACCACTATGCCCTCTAAACCATGTCTCGAAGCACCACATCTAAACGTTTTTTGAACACCTCCAGGGATGGTGACTCCACCACCTCCCTGGGGAGCCCGTTCCAATGCTTCACGACTCTTAACAGTGAAGAAGTTCTTTCTAATATTGAGCCTGAACCTCCCCTGGCACAACTTGAGACCGTTTCCTCTTGTCCTATCGCTAGTTACCAGGGAGAAGAGACCAACCCCCACCTCACTACAACCTCCTTTCAGGTAGTTGTAGAGGGCGATAAGGTCTCCCCCTCAGCCTTCTTTTCTCCAGACTAAAGTCTCTCTTGGTTATTTCCCAAATCAGGACCTTCTTGGTTTTAAGCATCTCAACTTTTTCATATGCAAATATTTAAGCTCCGTTAGTTTAACTGATGCATAAAATGTGTATTCATCCTGTATTGAAAACTTCAATCTATGGCCTCAAAAAGTAACCAGACAACATAGACCAGCTTTTAGTGATGACTGTTAGATAACCAAGCACCTTCGAATATCAACTCATTTTTGAAAATGGGACATATGGTCCTGTGGAAATTTGCTCCCAACTTCCAACTTACTGTATATTGGGACTCTACAAATGGCAGACAGTAGGTTTTTTTTTTCCTCAGCAGAGTTGAAAACAGCAATGCACACAGCTTCAGTCCTGCAAAGATTTAAGTAAACTACAGCTCTATTTACTGAACTTTCTGACACGGTGAGTTCCAGGAATGAAGAAGCCTTTGGAGGATTGACCCTGAACCAAAGTTAATAAAAAAAAGCAGCCCAAGAGAGAAAGAAGACTAGTATAAAATAATGCATACTGTATAGTACAAAGAAAAGTACAAGCAAAAAGTATAACTTTTAGATATTCTGGGCAAGTGTTTCTCTTATTTTCATCAGTTTCCACTACAGCCTCTTTTGTTCTCTTCTCCTTCTCTCCCATCTCACCTCGTCTCCACCCAAGCCCCTTTACATTATTCTATTTCATTAATCAATAATCCAGTCCAAAGGTTTATTACTGTAAACTGGACTTGAGTATGCTCTTGGTGTAGATACAGTCAAATCATCTCCTGCCAAACACTGGAAATCTCTCTTGCAGTAGTTGCCAAAGGATGGAAAAAATATTCACTGATTTACATTTCCTAATGTCTTTTCTCTCAGGTTGTTTTTTAGGTTATTTTTTCAAACTTTAAGAATAGATCAGTCAAAGACACAGCTAGTAGAGGTTTTGATGCAAGTCCAAGAGTTCATGTCCCCAAGAGTAATTATTTAACTGAACCATTGTGACTATTTCCTTGCAAAATTAAAATAATTTTAACCTTGAATTTTTGAACCAACAATCTTAAAAAGAAGAGATCAGGTTACAGTTTGTCCCATTTCCTACTGGCAGATATGACTGAAAAACAAATTACTGTTTGTCACTCTTCACACAACATGGGGGGAAAGGAGGAGGAAGCTCTCTGTTGCACTATAACCCAGCACACAGGAGTATAAAGTGGTTTAAAGCTCCAGTGGCCTTGGGATAATTTAGCTTGCAGACAGATGTTCAGAGATGTGGGATGAATATACTACACTACAAAGTTGGACAAGCAGAGAAGACCACACACAGTTGCTCAGTCATACCATCTAATTTTAATTAGACATCAGTCCAACATTTTGGTCTATGGTAGGCCGAGAAGTTTTTTATTTTTATAAGCAATATCCTTCATAACAACAGTTGCAATCAAGTGCTTGACAGTGTTTTACGCCAAGAACTTACTTCCATTTATTTGAATTACAAACAAACGTTACCTGACAGGGTATATTAAGGTGTACAAAAGGCCACAATGGGCAACTTTTTCACGGCCAAAGCACATATGAGAGATGCAGAGCAGGCAAATAATTTTCCTGACAGAAAACACTTTGAGATCAAATTCAGTCTCCATTGGTGACAAACTGGAGACAAAGTTCTCTTCAATTATTTTAGAAATCAAAAGTACTTGCACGAGTTTATAGAAATTGTTATTCACTCATGCAGAACTTGCACAATAAATTGAAAAGGTAAAGAAGTTTTGAATTAAATTTGATTCTACTGGTGACACCAATTCTGCCATATTGAGCCAAAAGAAAATATCTCAAGATTGTTAAAGGCTTTGTGTGCAGAAGAGGAAGGGAACATTACAGACCAAAAAATGACAGGATTTTCTGTGTTAGTATCTGCATGTAGTGCCAATGTCAATCCAATTAAGTTTGCACCAACAGGCCCCAGATGAGGCCAAAGAACATGATAACTAGAGCCAAGGTTAAAGAAATGAAGTGGTCCAAAGCTGCAATATGGATCATAAGTCACTGCCCATAGGCTGTGATAACAAACATGGAGACCTACATTTACTTCATACTGCAGCTACTCAACAAATTTGAACTAAATACCAAATATTTAAGAATTTAAACACTGAAGTGGAAATCTTAGAGAGATCTGGCAGACTATGAAGTACTGCAATGTAGGCTCTGGGAGGTGGAGGGCTGAGAAGTAACAATAATCAGGTTTGTACCTAATACTTGCTACACGTATTTTTATATCCTACATAGTGTGTAGGTATTATATGCTATGACTCAACATCTCCATGCAATATCCTCTTGTCAAGAATAGATTCTGGCAAGCAAAGTCTCCAGACAATTCCCTACTTTAACTGTGTCTATTATAACAAAGTCACAATTACTATGCCTACTTTGGGACACAAACTGCAATCAGATTCAGAAGTCTGCAGTGCCATCCCACTGAGGCTTTTGCTGCACAGCCTCCCAATGCCACGTATTCCACTTCTCCTCTAAAGAAATAAATTGCTCACTTTGTAATGTTTCCAGATCTTGATAACATAAGAGCCAAAAGATAAAGTAGTCAAATCATGCGTTGCTCTATTTTCAGCACGCAGCACCATACACCAGGATTTTAGATCAACTCATTACTAGATCAATCGCTGCAGCCCCTGATCATATGAAACAACTTATTTGAGCAAAGTTATCACAAGCTGATTCTCCTACCTTGAATACTTCTTTTAAAGAATGCTTTGCAGCCTTCACATGACCAGACCCCATAGTGGTATCCTGAAGCATAGTCACTGCAGACTGCACAGAAGTGAGCATCCCTTTTTGAGCCAGGATTATTTGCAACTGGGCTTGTACATTCATTGCCATTAGTTCTTCTTTTTAATGTTTCTCTGACAGAAAAGAAAAACATCTGTTATAAAAGAGGAAAAAATTAATCTACATTGCGAAGAGTTTCATTATTTTCCATAGTCTTCTATTCTCTCTCTATAGCGTCTTCTTATTACTGAGTACAGGATAGTGTGAAACACTGTTAAGCCTTTTTCTGATAAGGTTATTTAAAGCATATAATCTGATCGCAGAGCTTTCAATGACAACAGACTACAAAGTCTTAAAATACTCAAAGGCATAAAACTGGACTGCTGATGTGTCATTCACACAAACTCTGGGAAAATCATATGGAATGCTGACATATCTTGAAGAATTCTTGGAAATGTACAAGCCCAGGACTTTGTGAGCCAAGTGGACTTGGCCTTCAGGAAGCTTTGCATGGAAAATGAAAGCTCAGACAGCTCGGACTGATGTGATAAACACTGCCACGAACAGAGCTGCAGTTGCTTCGTACTGTTAGCAAGGCAAAATTCTAGATGAAGCAATACACATATAGTCTTAAGTATTTCATCCTTTAAACAAGGCTTTATTCATTCAATGAGATGCTGGAGACAAATATCTTGAGATGTGAATCTCAGCCTACAAGATCAACTCACAATGTTAGACAAAGTTTTCTGTTTAAAGTGATGACCCATGTTGATCACCCTAATGCTAAATAAAAAGAAGTCCGAATACAAGAACAGAGAAACACAATTAATAAAATACTTTCATACATTAAAAAAATTATTGCTCCATATAAATTAGTAAGATATCTGCATTTCTGAAGCACTGCAAATAGTTCCAACTTACTGGAACTATTCTCAGTGACTGGATTAAAATTAGAACAGGATAAAACCATGAAATAACAGCCAATTCCTGACACCAAGATCCTGTAAACAAACAGCAAGAGGAAAGGAACTTAGATTATCAGTAAAGTAGTTTTTAGGTATAGGAAACACATCCATTGTGTACTTTTTTCTCTGGACCTCATTTTCTTGGTGGTTTCAGCATGTCTTACCTTCATGGTCAATACAATTTCTAGATAGAAAGAAAATGGTGTCATGTGCAAACTCTCAGCCGCAGTTTGACAAAAGGAAAGCTGTAGAGTCAACTTATAAACTTGAGCACAGAGGCAGAAGTGAGAAACTGTAGAATTCTCCTCATCCCGCCTTCCAGCAGGATTAGGGAGGAGAAGACATATCAGTCGGGATAAGACAGCAGGTAGCACAGTTTACGACTTCTAAAGAACAAGGGTACATTGCCAGGGCAGAAGAAACCGGTTCACCAACAAAGGCAAGTTTAAACAGAAGAGTAGAAACATGCTGAAAGTGCTGTCAAAGAGGTTTGAACTAACTTATTAAAAGTAGACTTTGTACCAGTTTCATGACAGGAGGTAAGGACGAACACACCCACATGCCAACCAAAAATCATCAAGTTTATAAGAATTTAAGCAGAACGTGCTCCAATTTCCTAGTAGAAAATCTGGAAAGGAAAAAAGGTGATTCTCTGAGCAATTTCCAAAACAGAATAAGGTATTTGTTGTACAAGTAAGTTACTGCAAGCTTTTAAAAAATGTTAATTCATTCAGATATTCCAGGGCATAAGGGTGTTTAGATGTTTAACAAGCCTGGTCTTTGATTACACCAGCACCACCCCACCACCCCCATTAATGGATTACTGAATCGCTAAGTTATTTCCCCTTCTGCCATGCTGCGAAGACCAGTGTGGGGGAACCCTCCCTTAAAATAAAGGGACTGTATCACACACGTCTAATATGCTGCTAACACAAGGAGGAAAAAGCATTGCTATTCCTTCCTGTTTCCCTGTATTTGGAAGAAAAAGTAATTTTGCGTTTCACATTAGTAGAAGAGGTATATTTTTAAGCTCTACTTGGGAATCATGATGCAACTGTGAGAGTCAGAAGAGAATCAAAATCAGCTAGAGAGCATCTCAGTAACTGAATGATATGCTGTAGAGAGCGATGCTTATTGTCCTTGTTAAAGCACCAAGATGTTACCGATGAAAATACAGAAAAAGCACACACCGTACCATCTCACTGAGGAGTGTTGGTTTCTTACCTTCCAGCCATAACAAGTGTTTCAAAAAAACCACTTTTTCTTTCCCTGCTTAATAGTTTAATGACAGTGACCCTGCACACATGCAAGCTGCGTGACTTCCGCAGACTGTCGCAAACAGCTTGCACACAGAGCAACAACCTGGAACAAATTCCCTCTGCAGACCCAACGGGCATCAAATTTGCTCATCTGCAATAGCTGCAGCAGTGTAGTAAGAGGTTCAAACCCAATCATTTTGTTACTGTTGTCTTTCAGGACAATTGAACTAGGAAATAGTCGAGAGCTTTAAGGCACATGTTCCTTACCCCGAGAACCTGGTGATCAGACAGTGTATCCACAAACAGCAAACCGGAGAAGTTAGACCCACACGTGGTTAGAGACCACCTCCCAGCACTCTTGGGACTGGGGCACTCCAGCATGCTCAGCAAATGAACGAGCTGCCAGGTCCTCCAGATGAACTGGCGGTACCTGGCTGGATGCCCACAAAGCTCCTGCATCAAAGGATGCAGGAAAATGGGGGATGTACCCTGGCTGCTACCGAGGAACCACATGAACAAAGATTTATCACTTCATGCCTCCTAAGACTCCTCTCTATTTTATGATCATGGTTTCTATATAAAGATATTATGTTTCCATAAAAAGAATTAAGATTTTTTTGAACGTAACAAGTCAGTGATTTTCTATTAGTCATCAACAGTGACAAGATGATTATCCTAAAGGAGAAGGCATTAGCCAGACTATTTAGGTTATTCAGTATCTATCGTGTCTCTTTAATTACTTCTAGCTTTGCCACAGCAAGTGTTTGATGCATATGCCACACCCGGAAAACTTGAAACTAAATTCAATTTTTTTATTAAAAATTAAGAAGCATGGCAAGGATTTGACCTAGAAAGTAGCGAGATTTGCTCATAGCATTTGTTGTCTGTCAGGTTTTTTTAAAACCTAAACTATTGTACATTATAAAAAGAAAGGGAGAAAAAAAACTCCTGATAAAAGACTCCATTAAGTCAAAAATTAATAGTCCAGATTTTATAATTTCTTATAACTCTTCCCTCCCTCCCACAGGCCACGGCTCATTCAGTGCCTGGAGATAATTTGATCCCATACGAGCCCAAGCTGTAGGATGAAGGCTCTTCCTTTCTCTCCCAGAATGTGTGCAAGATGATGAGCAAAAATCAGCTGAAGATTACTTTTCAATCTTTATCTTCCTCATTTTATAGAGACTCCTTCCACTATAACTTCTGGAATTGTTAATACCACACAACTGTGAATATTTATATTTCCAAAGCACAGGTTCTGCTGCACTCCAGACATTGATTACTGTGCTGAAAATCATGTCATAGATATCTCAAAGTTAAGAGACGAATTTTTGCTTAATCTCTGTAACTATTCCATCATAAAATGGAGATGCCAACCCATCACCTCAAAAAGACTTCAAGATACGTTTAAGTGCTCTACAGAATAAGTACAATAAAAAAAGCTTAGGAGAATAATGCAAGTAATTATGGCTTCAGAGTAGAGTTTAAGCAATGTATAAATATGATATTAGCTCACACTGAACAAGACAAAGTTACTAAATAATTTCTAATTAAGCAAGCATTGCTAGCCAGTGTACCCAAAAACCTTTACTTACATGCTTCACCTGCAATTAGTCAGAAGCACAAGGAAAATAATAGATAAGAAGAACAAATTAAGTTCCAGAAATATCACTCTGGCAACTTCATTACAGTCTCCTAATATTTTTTAGAAAGTAATATATCTGTTCATTTTGAAAATAAATCTTTTGTTTCTTTAATAAAAATCTTTTTATTTAGGGGATGAAGACAGAAATCAAATTCAGACTACTTTAAAATAGAACATAATTACATTGTCACATTCCTTTTCTCTTCATGTCATTTTAATATAAATTGAGTGATCCTGCACCAACAAAAATTACAAGACTATTGTCTTCACTAGGTACAGGAACTATAATACAAATAAATATAGCAGAGTCTTTATCAGTGAATTATTGCCATTTCATACAAAAAGATGAACTCTAAACTATTCACATCTAAAATTCACATTTTAGTGAACTCTAAAAATTCACATCCTTTTTTACATGGAATACAATTCATTTTTGTTGAACTAATGGTGCAAAGTAACACTACACTGCATGACATTTGCTTTTAACAAAGTTGAATAAATTTCTTCAGTATCCATATAACGAATATATTTGTGAGGAAAGCGAATGCCGACAATTCAGGTTCCTTATTTTGAGCCGATCTACAAGGAGATCCAAATTACACAGTGATGAGCTTTAGCAAAGTGGACCACATTAGTTTAGCTAATGTTAATGGAAATTTACACCCAGGGAAAAGAAACTCCTCATGGTGAGATTCTTGCTTTATTTTGAAAGAGAAAATAAATGGTGTAACAGGTCTAAATATGTAGTAATGCTTTCTTGCTCATCTTTCAAACAAAATCCCCTCTCTGAAACTACAATGCTGTTTAAAATTGCTTACATTTTGCAGCATTAGTCTCTCCCTTCCCCCAGAGCTATTCCTTTAAGTTTCAATTCCAAGAACTCTGCCTTCAAGGTATAATCCATGAATCCGTAGTATCACAGTCATTGTTCCCATGGCAATAAATATAATGTTCATGGCATTAATTTAAGACCTCACCAATGGATAAGGCAAAAGGAAACACAGGGTTTTTTTTTCTTTACAGTCTTATTTCAGGACAGGTATCCACAATAAGGGAATTATAGCTCTTGCTTTTTGTGTTTCCATGTCAAATTAATTTTGGTTTTCTTTTTTACAATTTTATACAAAAAAAGGGGGTTATGATGCATCATACCAAGACAAATGAACCACTTGCTCATTTGTCCAGCTACCAAGCAACACAGTAGTTACTTGCTGCTGAACAATAAAGATCATCCATAAATTTAGATTCCATATTTCATTGATTTCTCCTCTTTAAATTAGGTCACTATCAGCTACAAGAGCAATAGTCCTTATGAATCTATACAAATGGCAGAAGACTTATTTACTCAAACTCCAGTGTGGCAGGTTTGGCTTCCCATCCCTCTATGTAGAAAGCACCCTGCAGAGCATCAGATGAGGTGCTCTTGCTCTTGGGTTATTCCAGCTGCTGTCCCATGATCTGGACAGCTTCAAACACTAACCTACAGCAGCCTTCCCAGGGCTGTCAAAGTTTTGAAACATTAACCAAAGCCAGAACAGTTTGGATGTTAGCCCTATTCACATTAGACCTGCTTGGGGAATTCTGTATATAAATGCTACCCAAACAGCCTCTCCCAATCCACACACCTACATTTAAAGTAGATTTGCACTCCAGAACTGCCTGGTCCTCTCTGCCAAATCCAAATACAGACTAGTCAGGTGGCTGGATTGAAGATCTCTGCAGCCTACAAGTCAGAAGTAGATGTATTTCTCATGCCTTAGCCCTGTGCAGACAACATAAGGCCCACCCATTGCAGAAGGAATGTGGGTAGTCTCAAAAATAGTACAAATCCTTTATTAACAATTGAACTAAAACTGTTGCCAGGACACGCTATTTTTCATACTGACAATGACTGTTGAAGTTAAATAAGGGGCCCTATGAATAAACATACAGCTGCTAAAACAGCAACAGCACCTGCAACACCTTGAGCTTTTATCCATCCAACAGCTGTTGTGCCCATGAATGGAGTAATTTCATCAGCTGATGATCTACATACTGCTTATGGTTTGTAATATGAGTAAATGTGCAAAATGGGAACATGTTTTTGCAAACACAGTTTCTTCAGAGCAGAAAATTTAGCCCGTGAATCTGCTGTTCACAATGCTTTTATAAAGGCAGTTGAGAACAGCAACAAGAAATAATGTCAGACCTATTCAGTAGCAGCACCCTTTTGAACATGATGCATGCTGCTGTGTGACTGTTAACAATAAAGCCAAGAAACAAAGAAAACATTTCCCTTAAAATCTAAGTTCATGAAAAACTGCCACAACTATTAGATGCAGTAAAAAAAGATCCAGATAAAATGGAATTCAAACAACATTGTATGAAAAGGAGAAAAGAATGAACCTTTACTTCTTTCACTCAAAGGATTTAATTTGCCAGAGTGAAATTAATTTTTATCACGTAAACTAGTACCTAGAAGTCTTGAACTTTTATTTATACACAGTAAACAGTTCCCACATTGAAGACATTTGTAGTGCTTTGTGTTGGTGTATCGTTCTCTAAGGAGCTATTGAAAAGAAAAAATCTTATTTCAGAAGTTATTAAAAAAACACAAAACCCAGGACTGATTTGGTGTTTGGTGGAGGTTTTTTAGGTTTGGTTTGGTTTTTTTTTTTTGTTTTTTTTTTTGTTTGTTTGTTTGTTTGGGGTTTTTTGTGGTTTTTTTTTGTTTGTTTGTTTGTTTGTTTTTCAGAGAGACCAACACATAGAAGTCACATATAAAAAGAAAAGTCTTAAAAGAACTAAATAAACTGTAAAAAATTTTCAGCAAAGTTTTAAAGAAACGAGTAGTACTGACCTGCTCACAGGCAGCACTGGCTCCATTGTTCTTGCTTCGCACCACGGACTCTTTGGCTGCTCTGCGTACAGAAGCGATGACTGACAGTGCAATGTCAGAGGGGAGAGATGGCCAGGAACAGACCATAACGCGCTGGGGCTTGACGTTTGCCTCACAGATGCACTCTCTGAATCACCAAAATTGCTGGTAATGTTGTAATTCATCACAGCAGGGCTGCAGAATGCCATTGCAGAATATTCATGTCTGTTTTCCGTGTAAGATGAGGGAATATAGACTGGACTGTGTTCTGCTGTCAACATGGACTGATTACAGGTATAGGGAACTGGAGAGACGATACCAGGGGGTGAGTTTTTAATTTCTGGTTTATTGCATCCAATATCCTGAAGTGGCAGCAATTGAGACAGGTCCTTGTGAGAAGATGCACACAGGGACATTTTGAAGCAAGACTGAAGACTGTTGTTTAAATATTCATCCTAAGATGGTAAAGTATTAAAAAAAGTTTAATTAAAAAGTAAGAAAGTTGTGTATTAAATCTTTCCTATAAAAGTAAGAAGGAATCAGTAAAACAGAAAATATAAAACTATTCTGTTAAAACAAATTACATACCAAATGCATTTAAACAGTCAGTGTACAAATTTACTACCTTTAAGAAAGAGAAAGCTTTCTAGAACTTCCTTAAAAATAAAAGTCTAAGATACATGTTGAGTTCAGACTCCCTTAAAAAATAATAACGAAAAATAAAAAATCCCTTGAAGTCTGAAACAAAGATGCAGGTGACAACTTGGATCTTAACAAAAGTAACTCACTGCAACCAGGGTAAAACTGCTTTATGTCGGAGGCAAAAGTACCCTATGATCCACAACTATGGAGGGAGTGCCCTGAGAAATCAATTCTCTTTGTAAAAACTCATCATCTCCTGCTCCCACTATAAGTGTACTACTTCAGCCTTCCCTTTATCAACACAAACATGTAACAGCAGATATTTTGAAAACACACACATCTATCTCCTTTACCTTCCAAAACCAGAACTCCACTGCACATCCCTCTCCACAGATGAGGAAGACACGTAATGGATGTCAGTAAGCAATGCAACTTCATCACTGAGAGGTCCCTGGATACGGCACCTCTGAACAAAGCCATTATAAAAGTAGCAGTCACCAAATGCAGATGTTTCCAAAGCTGACAACACAGAACTCGAGTGATTTCATAAGATCCAGAAGTTTTATAATTTCCTGCCACTCTCCATCCCTATCCCAACCACTTTCCATCCTTCCTCCCATCTGAGTCAACTATCAAAACAGAGACCTTAATTTGCCCGCAGTAAATACTCTTTGCCAGATTTAGCTATATCCAAATTATTTAACAGAGAAAAAAATTTGAAAAGAAAAAAAAAAGCCCACGGAACCATCCTCCTAAGACATAACCCCTGCCCTGGAAGCAGTACTTTTACAGTAGCATTTAAAAATATTTCTTTTTTTGTTCTTCACTAAGGGTTTCATCTGCAATTCATTCCAGCTTTGAAGACAGACATGCAGTCCTCTTATACCTTGCAATCCAAAACAAAACAATTCTGTTTCCAAAATAGCAAGTTCCAGTCCCCAGAACGGACATTGTAGTGTACTTTTACAGATGGTAATAAGATCTTAATATGAGAAATGACAGGATAGTTAAAAAGTCACCCACAGCTTTGCTATTCCAGAAGTCACTAAGGTATTGATGCTAAATATTCTTACCTTTTTTCACCTCACGTGACCATAAAGCAAGATGAGGAAGATCCAAACAGAGGTTTGCTGAAGTACCAGCAACCTATTTGACCCAAAAATTCTCAGTCAGATGGCATTTCTAGCATGCCATCTTGGGGCATTGACATATTTTTCTCCTCTAGGGCCAGAACTGAAGGTAGAAGCGTTAAAAAATATAAGAAATAGTTTTTTTTAATAAAATGGGTAGTTTAGGCTCCGTCCTTCCTTCTCACTTTGCACTCTGTTGATGAAACTGAAGATATCTGTAGAAATAACCAGGAACTCATTTAAATCATCTCAGGCACTTCAGACCCAGCTGCTGTTTTTTCCTTTGCGGGAAACAGGAAAATGAGATATCTCGGCAGCTGTTTATGTCCAGCAGTTGTTGCACTGGAACTCTGATGCAGGCAAAGGAGAAGAATCTGACCTTACTCCTCACACAATCCACACGCTTCATTTGCCCCAGCCAGATGCTTCACAGTCTCCTCTAAGAGAAACCAAGCATCATCCAATTTTCATTGCAAAAAGCACCGAAAATTCTAAAGGTGCTTTCACTCCCAGATTATAGGGTGGGTAACCCAAATAATTTTTAAGCAGCAAATGACAGAACTAAAATAATCTTAAGACTGTTTTCAGTGGTTGCTACGAATGAGCCCAGTGAGCACACTGAATTCAAAATACATTTAAAGCTTCTGTGAAGGTAAAGCCGTATACGATTTGCGATCTCAGAGGCTGCACGTATTCAAAGTGTGCGTGGACAATCTGCAGGAGCATCTAGAATGTCCAGCAAGAGCTGGCTGCACTAACTATGTCCCTCTGCCCCCCTTGAAAGGGCACACAGTGCAGGGTAACCCCAAACCCTTTGGAGAGAAGGACCTGAGAGGCATTACAACATCATCTCTGTTATAGTCAGCTAGAGACATTCTGCTATGATATTTTGATAGTTTTTGCAGCAGGCAACTGGTTGTGTGGTTTCCCTCAGACATTTGGAAAAAATAGGCATGTACGCTGGAGAAGCAGAGAGAACACAGAGCTGCTACTACACAATTTTATGAACTGAACTCAGCTGAGATTTAAGTCGTGTTTTTCTGGAGAGGTAATGCACTAGAGTGGTATGCAGGATAACTGCCTATTTGGCAGAAGGACATACTGTCTCCAAAGGGCAACACACAATATTTTGAAACATACACAGAAGCTATGAGAAGCAAGAGTGAAGTTTGTTTTAGAGGGAGGAGTCCACACAAGCATGAAAAGTCAGTACAGACTTTCTCAAAAACAGACTGCTCATGACTTATTTACAAGAGAAGTGACTCTGGAGGTTAAAGAAACCTGTAGTCATGGTCTTGAGCAGACTGCAATATAGTGAAAAAATAACAGCATTGGCTTAAAATAATTAACTTGGGTAGCAGAAATAGTTTAGCCACAGTAGACTATGGATCTACATGAGATCACATTGTCCACATTTCCTTATACACAGAGAATTTAGAAAGGGAAGACCACAGCCTCACAAATAAAGTGAAACTGCTGAAATTGTCCAGTATTGCTCAGAAGGTCCTAAAAATTGACTGCTGGACTGTGAAGTTCTATGTCTTAAAGAAGGACTGCAGATTGAGGGAACCAGATCTTAAGATTTAAAGCTGGAGAAAATGAACTCCACTAACACCAATACCTCAGAAGGAAGCAGGACCACATTTAAGCCAAGGATTACAATAGGTAGTGCAAAAAACTAACAGATTTGTTCCATCCTGGTATAATGTCCTCATATCTTAAGCACCATTCATCAAACAGAAATGAACTTCTACATAAAGTGAACTCCTGTCCCAACACTCCTTCCTTCTCTGAAGAAAGATTTTAACAGCAAAATTCAACTATAAAGTACAGTTTTTAGATCTAGTCTATCAGACACAGAAACAAAACAGTTATCCATTATTTTCATACTACAGTCTTCCAGGAGACTGCAAATATTTCAGTCCACTTAAATCAGTTTAGCTTAGCAAGATACTCAACAACTGAAATGCCATTATTAAGTAAATAGCCATTCTGTCCAGTTCCTTGAGTAACACTTACCATTCACAAATCTAAGACACTATGGGGAGGGTTCACATCTGGCATAAGAGAAAACAGTTCCATTGGCTCTAGTACCCAGAGGATGATACCACTATCCACGAAGATGTAGGAAAAAAACCGTGATGTTATTAATGTTCTCCACAAAAAAAAAATATCAGGTTTCTTGTCTTTAAACAACTCTACATACTGAACTTACTGTATCTTGAGAGTCACCATGCAATACACACCAGATCGGGCACAAGAACTGGTTTAGATGTCATAGTCAAACAGATACACGGGTAAATAATTAAGCCATCTGACCTATTTCAACAAACTCAAAAGCCAGTTATTGCACATTACCTATACCACTTATCTTTTTAAAAGCCTTGCATGAAATGACTAATTTAATTTTTTTTTTAGTTTTGGAAAGGGTTAAAAATAGGTAGAGGTGGCAGGCTGCCATGTTTCAGAGCCTGCTTGGAAACTTAATATAATAGTTTTTCCCAGAAAAATGCAACACCCTGCAAAAAGCAATAGAGTGATGGATGTTCTCAGGCACCCTTCCATCAACATACACTACAACATGCTTAGAATTTTCTAGGCAAGTCTTTTGAGTAAAGATTTTTTTGCAATAGAGAATTAAGATGACCTTTTTCTCTGCTAGGCTTAAATTAAAGTGCAAGCATTCTTCCTTTCGTTTTAAGAGAGATGATTCAGCAAGCATGCATTCTACTACCCCACAGCCACAGGCCCTCAGTCATCTTGCAAAGCATTCCATTAATATTCTGCTAAGTTAAATTTTACGCAACTCACCGCAACAATAAACTGGATCATTTTCTCAAAAACTGATCATTAAAGGAAAGTCATTCCTGTTGCATAAAATGGCACTTGTGCTTCAAGTTTTGTGAAAAACTTATTACTCATTAAATACCACACTGCCAGATACTGCCAACAGAAGGCATACAAGTAAACAAGTTTATTATTACCTGAGAAGGACTAGATGCAACAAGTGGGGGACAGATAGGGAAGTAAAATGAAAATAAAGCTATCTGTCCAGACCTCAGACATTGTACTCATTCCTGCCAACTTAATAGCCTGTTCTCAATGAGATCAAGACCTCCTCTGAAGAAAATATTGCAGATTAAAAGCACACGGGCAAGGATGCTTCAAAATGCGTAAGCAAAATGAGCACTCTCTTTGGCCTATCTTAGCCTTTGTGTTACTGGGGACACTGACAACTTCTAGGTAATTATAAACATTCATAAATATATTTCAGAGGTCAATGCATATGACATACACGGAGGCACCAAGGGAACTAGGTTTGTTCCACCAGAGGAACACAAGACTGCAGGAGGGTCTAACTGCAGTCTTCTACTCCCTGAAATGGAGTTACAAAGACAACAAAGCCAGACTCTTTTCAGAAAAAGTGCACCAGTCAGGACAAGAGATTGCAGTCACAAGTCAGTGCAAAGGATATTCCAGTTGGACGTATGAAAAATTCTCCACAGTGAGAATTAAGGATACACAGAAACAGGATACCTAGAAAGGCTGTGCAATCTCCATCTTTGGAGATATTTAAAACTCGACTGAAAAAGGCCCTGAGCAACCTGACCTCACTTTGAGCTGGATGCTGGATTAGTTGCTCT